TCCCTAATATATGATCAATAACATAGCAATATCATGGTTTTCACAAAGACTCACTTTCCCTAATATATGATCAATAACATAGCAATATCATGGTTTTCACAAAGACTCACTTTCCCTAATATATGATCAATAACACGGCAATATCATGGTTTTCAGGAAGACTCACTTCCGACAAGTATCTAATAGTTTTGTTTTTTATCCTATCACTACTATATTTAAATTTAATTAATTTTAACTCTCTTGACAAATCCCATTATACGCCTTACAATTTTTTTTCTGAGAGCAGTATTTCTCTTGCGTTCCAGGAAAATCATAGTTTAATCAACGTTTACGACAATGAAAACATTACAGCAACAGTGTTATTACTAGCCAAACTTGTAAAAGATAATTACAAAGAATATTCAACAAATATGTTATTTGATACTTTTCTATGGATAGGTCCTAGCTTCTGTCTGGTTTTGAAGACGATGTTTTGGCTATGTGCCGAGTTCTTCAAGGTCCAAAACGTCTTCAAAACCAGACAAAAGGCATGAACAATCCATAACAAACTATTCAACATGTCAATACATTAAAACTTTATTTGAAAGAAATATATTAAAAGAGGAAAATGTACTTTAAATATTGTTATATGAAACTGCGAAAAATAATAAATAACATGTCACTGCACAGCAGCGTCATTATTAATACATTTCATGTAAATTTAGAGCAGTGGTTCCCAAACTTTTTTTCACTGACAACACCCTAACACACCTTACCTTGATATGCGCGACACCCCTGCAGCCACATTTTTTTTTGGAGAGTTTTGTTTTTATTTCTTAATTACTATTCGTTGGGTGAAACTCTCACGACACAAATTTCCAAGGCACAGTTTGAACCCCCTGATCTTGATTTTATCTGTTGTGTTAAAACTATGCGAAAGTATTGGTACACAATAGATTTTACCTATGTTTATAGGTTTTATTTCACTATTGTGGAATTTACGAAGTGTATTACAAAAATTGAAATAAAGAAACATTTGAACTCGTTCTTCTAGTAAATCACTAGGCATTCATTCGCCTTACTATCGGACTTCAAAACATCATTTTATTATTTCTGTCAAAGGGCATTAAGTTAAGTCAAT